TCTTCGAGGTTGTGGCGAGGAGAGACACATCCATGCGTTCCGATTGGACTGTAAGAGTGGTGCGTTACGATTGGACTGTAAGAGTGGTTGAATGGGGAGACAGGGGATAAAACCAGGGGTGCAGGGACAGTGAAGGGAGAGAAAAAAAACGAATAAACGTCTGTATATCCAGATGATGCTGGAGCGGTGGTTTCCTCAAGGTGCCAGCAGATGAAAAGTTCTCGTCTTCGGCTTCCTTGGCGGCAGCAGCAAATCTCGTGCAACAAGCGAGAGGCGAGTGGAAAGAACCAAACGAAACGTAACTGGTGCAGTCGAGCAGGATCTGCATGGCTGAACTGAGGAGGACAGCGGGGAGAGACATCGGCCGAGACTGACGACAACCACCTTCAACTGACTACCACGCTGCGGGATCAACGAAGCAAGGCTAGTCCACCAGATTCCGAGGAGGAAGAGCGCACCGCAAGGGTACTTCAGGCGGGTACCTCTTGATTTTCTGTTGGGTGCAGGCGATGACAAAGCATTACAACTGGCGAGACAGAGAAAGGGACAACTCGGAAATGAACGGGGACGGGGCAGAAAACTTGCAGGCGTTGGGAGTCACCGACAGCGGCCCGGGGGGTAATGGTAGTGGCACGTCATATACGGCGTCGGAACAGCAGCTAGCGCTGCTCCAGCTTAAATTAAAAATTGCTGAGGCGGAAACGAAGAAGCGGCGATTGATGCTGGAAAGCCAGCGTCTACGAGCCCGCAATGGGACAGAGTCCAACGAGAGCGATGATGGCGTAGCGCTTGGCGGAAGGTCAGAGGAATACAGGCGACTGAATTTCGCAAGCTTGTTAAAGGGTGTACTGGCACCAATGCCGAACCAAGAGGAGCTTACGCCAATGTGGTTCGAAGATGTTGAGCCAACGCTCGAGTCGTATGAAGTTCCGAGCGAATGGTGGGCCGGACTAGTTTTGCCACAGTTGAGTGAAAGGGCACGCGGGCTGCTGTGCAGGCTTACAGCAGAGAAGCGCAAAGCTTATGTTAAGTTTAAGTCAAGCATTTTCGAGGGTCTCAGGCTTTCGGCGGCGGAGTACAAGAGGCTGTTTGCGGGATCGAAAAAGGGAGAAAGGGAGTCCTGGGATTAGTTTGCCGTATGCCTTGAGAATTATTTCGACTATTATGTCCAGAGTTCAAAGGTAGGCACGTTCGAGGAACTCAAGCAGCTAGTGGTCGCGGATCGCTTGAAAGAATGTTTGAGCCCGGAAGCGAGAGCGCATGTCATTTGTAATCAACAGGATTCCTTTTTGCTGCCCAGTGGCGTGGCTAGGCTCGCGGAGAGATTCGAGGAGAGCGAAAAGTGCAAGGCAGCACAAAAGAAGGCAAATGTAGAGGAGTGGCAAAAGAAAGCTGAAACAGCGGTAGATACACCCACGGACGGAAAGGGGAAAACGCGATGTTTTGGGTGTAAGGGTGCCGACCACATTGCCAGGAAATTGCCCCAATAAGGGCTCAGGTGCAAGGAAAGGCACTAGGCCAGCAAGACAACAAAACGGTCCAGTGGTCGCGAGGGTGACCGCTTCTGCATTCGGGTAAAAAATAGCAATGACAGACAGGTTGTGGCAGCGTAAAGAGCAGAAACAACCCTCACTGGAAACTGTAACGCTTAAGGGCTCAGGTCGATCATTAAGCGCCGTGGTAGACTCAGGAGCGGAGGTGAGCGTCATCAAAAAGGCAGTGGTACCTCAGTACGATGGTACGGGTTCGCAGACAAAGTTGACGGGAGCGTTCGGGCAACAGGTAACCGCTGAGTTGGCTTACGTGCCGCTCATAGCTACTGAAGGAAGTCCTTACGTGATGTCCGAGGCGGTGCAGTCGGTCGTGCTTTGTGCAATCATAGATAAGTTGCTAGACGGTACCGACGCGCTGATCACGCCCAACGATTACGCACAGCTTCTCGAGGAAAGGGTTAAACGTGACATAGTGTCAGACGAGTGTTCAGCAGTCGAGGAGACCGAAGCTATAGTAGAGCTGTCAGATGAGGCATGCGAGGAGCATTGGGTGATGGCAGGCGTCATAACCGCGGAGAGCAACAGCGAAGGTTCCGAGCCGGTCAAAAGCAAACGACAGGAGTTTCGTGAGGCTCAGGAAGCAGACCCGGCTTTGCGAGATGCTTGGGCGCAGGCAAAGGCCGGAACGCATGGTATGCTAGTTCAGGACGAGCTATTGTATCATCAGGAACACCTCGCGGGTCGCATCTGCAAACAGCTAGTGCTAACATCGCACAGGCACAAAGAAGTGCTGAAAATGGCTCACGATTCACCATGGGCAGGTCCTTTAGGAGAGCGGAAAACACTACAACGAGTGAAAAGCTCATTTTACTGGCCGCAGATGTCGCGAGATGTAAAGGAGTACTGTAGGTCGTGCCATGGATGCCAGGTGAAATCGCCGACGAGGCAGATAGATAGGGTTCCGATAAAGCCCCTGGCCAGGCCCAGCGCGCCGTTTCAGACAGTAAACATGGACTGCATCGGTCCTATGGTACCCCCTTCAGCTAGAGGTCACCGCAATGCTCTTTGTGTCGTAGACTTACATACCAGATGGCCAGAGGTGGCATGCTTCCGTTCACTAACGGCAAAGGCTACATGTGACGCGTTACCGCAGATATTTTCTCAACACGGAGTGTCAGAGACAATTTGCTCAGATCAGGGCACCAACTTTACGTCGAGGTTGACACAGGAGATGTTGCAAAGACTGGGGGCAACTCCGAGATTTTCCACGCCCGATCACCCGCAAGGCAACGGCTTAGTCGAACGCTGGAACGGCACGTTCAAAATAATGCTTTCTCACATAGTCAGCGAACATGGACGCGAGTGGGATAGGATGATTCCGTTTTTGTTATGGGCATATCGTGAGGTCCCACATGCGACTACAGGGCGGTCACCGTTCGAGCTCATGTACGGGCGGGTGCCGAACGGGCCCCTATCCATTCTCAAAAGGACTTGGTCAGGAGACTGGGAAGTGCCGGAATCATTGGGTATGCCAGCAGCGGAATATATTGCGAAGCTCCGAAGTAATTTGGAAGAAGCTAGCGAAGGAGCCGCCCGACAGAGTGAAGTCACTCAGAAGGAGTACGTAGGACGCTATAACTTGAGGGCCACAGACAAACAGTTTGTCACAGCGGACCAAGTACTATGGCTAGATAATGTCAGGGCGATAAAGGAGATCCCGGCTCCCGAAACAAAGGGACAGCTTCGTAGTTTCTTAGCGCTAGCCAACTATTATAAGGTCTACGTGCCCGAGTACTCCAAAGTCGTTATGCCTCCGACTAACCTAACCGGCCGACGTATTCCGCAGAAATTACCTTGGAATACAGAGGTGCAGGAAGCTTTTGACAAGGTGAAAAACCGTCTAGTGCAGGCGTCGGCGTTGCAGGCACCAAATCCGAGGAAAAAATTTATCCTCGCCACAGATGCATCCAATTACGCCGTTGGTGCGTGCCTGGCACAGCAGAATCTGGTGGGCAAGGAGCGCCCTATCACTTTTCTGAGCGAGAAGCTTAGCCCGGCTCAGACCCGATTGGCCACAATAGAAAAGGAAGCTTATGCAATCATTTGGGCACTGGGGAAGTTGGATGTTTGGCTGTTTGGCGCTAAAATCAAGGTGATTACCGATCATAACCCACTCAACGTTCTGACTCTAACCACTCCGCAGAGCGCTAGGCTGACACGCTGGGCGTTGGCAATACAGAAGTATAACCTGGAAATTGAACACAAAAAGTGGTGTCTAAGCGCTAATGCCGACGCAATGTCGCGGTAAGTGACTCCTAACGATGACGCATAAAAGGGACGGCGAGTTAAGGGGGGTGTATGCTTTGTTAACGCGTGCGCGCGCCGGAGTCAACGAGATACGAGTGACAGTTGGTGCCTCACGTGTCGAGCCAGTGAACATGTGTGCATATGCGGTTGTGTTTGTGTCGCATGTCATAGATACAGTGCAACACAGTTGGAGGGGAGGTGTTGGGCTCGAACTTCGTCAGTTCCCCGAATACCTTATGTTACCCACCCCGTGGCCGGTGACCCCTCGCCGACAAGGAAGCAGGGCCACCGGAATGCGGGATGATGACTGTCTGCTGGCCACAAAGGACGCGACAACTCCCGTGCCCCAAGGGGTGCAATTATGGCGCCTTACAGGAGACCAAGCCAGGCTGCAGGTGGCCGGTACACGTGGAAGGTACACGTCCGCGTCCGCCGGACAATCAGAATCAGCGGAGGCGACGGCATTGGCGCACGGGCCAATTGTATTGATGGCCTGTCAGCCCGGCATCGTGGGAACTTACTCGGAGGCGCTTTTCCACGACCTGGCAACGCCCGTCATCGATCATTCCGGGAACCGGTGTAAAAAAAACCTGAGCGACGGCGGAGAACCGATGAGTGGGCAAGAGGCGGTGGGTCTTCGAGGTTGTGGCGAGGAGAGACACATCCGTGCGTTCCGATTGGACTGTAAGAGTGGTTGAATGGGTAGACAGGGGATAGAACCAGGGGTGCAGGGACAGTGAAGGGAGAGGAAAGAAACGAATAAACGTCTCTATATCCAGATGATGTAGGAGTGGTGGTTTCCTCAAGGTGCCAGCAGATGAAAAGTTCTCGTCTTCGGCTTCCTTGGCGGCAGCAGCAAATCTCGCGCAACAAGCGAGAGGCGAGTGGAAAGAACCAAACGAAACGTAACTCCATATTTCACTATGAAAAAGTAGAAAAACATGGTCAAAGTTCAGCATCATAATGTTTTCCTGCTGCCTAAGAGAAGCAGATTCACTGTTGCTTATTTGAATTTCAAGCGGACGCTTTGTATATATTCTGGGAGTGGCACACCAACAATTGTATGGTTCTTGTGATACTGGGATGATGGTAAAATGCGTCACTGCTTCATACTTCATTAAGGTGTCTGAGTAGAAATATGCTGCTCTCATAATGAAAATTACCGATACAATTGTCTAAAAATAAACGTTAAAAACTCACCTGGTGTGCCCTGGCGATGAGATCGAGGTCGAACTTCTTCAGACACTTTGCGACAACGTCAGCGCCGAAAGTGTAAGAGACTCCACGGTCGCTCTCTCCCCAACCCTGGATGTCCCAGCTGGGGTCGGACCAGAGCAGGTCACACAGCAGACCATCATCGGGCACCTCTGTCGGGCGAGTTATCCGCTTCACCTGGTCAAATGACTGCAGGTCGGGACTTAAGCCTGCAAATACATCAACATCATGTATTTATTGCGATAGCAATTGTATAGGCACACTCGACTGGTTTTTGCCGCCGGCGACGGCGTGTGCCGTCATTCACCGTATATGTATACGTATATATGAAGACGCAAGAAATAAAAATAATCCAGAAAAAATGGCAGATCCGCACGTACAGTGGGAATCGGTGACATGCGAAGCACGAATAAGAAAGGTTGATATGTCACCTTAAAATCAGCACAACGTTCAAAATAGAGGTAAATGATGCCGTACATGACTTCCCTGTCTTGATTATCATGTTTGGATGTGTCGTTTATCTTCATCATCCATTCACGTCTCATGATACCAAATTCAGTATATGTGGAGCTAACGAAACGGCCGCGAGCACGCTATTAGCGTGGTATGCTGTAATGTTTTTACATGACACGCGTGTCTGGATTACAATGTTTGCATCACTCATATATTTCGTCATCTATTTACGTCACGTAACACCAAATTCGGCATATGTGGAGCAAGCAAAACGGCCCCGAGCGCATCATGAAGGGCCCAATATACTCCAATTTAACATTGACGCATGCTCACGCTGGGCGATAACGCGATAACTCTATAACGCGATAACTTTATAGTCTGATGCAAGGTGCGACCGGCGCTACCAACGTTCGTAGGCGCGGCCCGACGGCAACCGGCGCGACATTCGTGCCGATGCGTTGCCTAGACAACACTGCGTCTGCCTCTTTTTGTGACAGAGGGGCGCCGGACGCGCTGAAATGCGCATGCGTCAAAGCAATGCATCGTGCCAGACACATGCGAGTATACGGAAAAACCGGCGCCTGGCGTCGCAACGCCGGCGTGACACGACGAAATGAATGCCGGCGAGCACGCGCATCATCTCACGTCGAAATGTATTGGCGCTTTGACTGTGGTATTTAGTCATGTTCTCACGTGACATGCGTCTCATGATTATTATCTTTGCACCCGTATCATACCTTCGTCATCCATTCACGTCTCATAATACTTAGTAGAAGTAATGCTAGCGAAATGGCCGTCAGCGCATCATGAGCGTGGCATGTAGTCATGTTCTCACGTGACATGCACCTCATGATTATCATGTTTGCACCAGTATCATACCTTCGTCATCTATTCACGTCTCGTAATACCAAATTTAGTAGAAGTGATGCTAGCGAAACGGCCGCCAGCGCATCATGAGCATGGCATGTAGTCTTGTTGTTAAATGACTCGCATCTCATGATTATCATGTTTGCACCAGTCACATACCTTCGTCATCCGTTTACGTACTGTAATACTAAATTTGGTATATATGACGCTAGGGAAGCGGCCGGGAGTGCATGATGAGCATGGCATGTAGTCATGTTGTTAGAAGACACGTATGTCATGATTTTCATGTTAGGGTCTGTCGCTTGTGTTTGCCATGCAATCATGTCATACCATACCAGTTTTGCAACATGCCATGTGAACGAAACCACCACAAGAGCTGCAGGACCTTGAAATGTAAATCATAACATTAATGATATAGATGCCATGATTTTCATCTCATGACTACTTATTTGTGTTCTTCATAGACTCATGCTATGCCATACCAAATTTGGTATCGATACAATTATCGAAACGGCCAGGAGAGATAAAACTCTTAGGCGGCTAGATAGATGGATAGATAGATAGATAGATAGATAGATAGATAGATAGATAGATAGATAGATAGATAGATAGATAGATAGATAGATAGATAGATAGATAGATACGCTCAAAGTCGTCTAGGTTCGCAAAGTAATGCTTCGCATTTAAAAGACTATGGCCTTTGTAAACGAACATCTGGGCTTTCGTTTCGCTGCTCAGCTAGTAGCGTTCGTCACTGTGCTAAGAAAAAAAGTCACAGTTTCGCCGCAAGGTCGAAGCAATGAATGCGATAGCAAGAGGTTGAAATGTAACGCTGAGAACGGCTTAACGGCTTGCAGATCGAAACGTGCAGCGCGCTGCTCATGCACAAATGACGCACAATAACTACACACAGGACTAGAGCTAACAATGTTTTCAACCCGACGCACGCGCTGTTTAAACAAAAACGATGCCGTTATCAACGGTACAGACATGAGTGCGAACTAACGAGTGTCCTAGTTTTACTTTAGTTTGTTTCAAAAGCACGCCCATTTGGCAAACGGGGCCTGCCCGACCAGCGCAGTTGACTTTTGTGGTCCAGACAGCTAACACAATCATTCCAGTGAAAAGCCCAGCCACACGATTCTTCCCACCGAAGGATCAGCGCGAGCGCAAAAGCACCTACCCCCCCCCCCTTCCCAGCCCCCCACGCGTGGAAAATGCTCCCGACCTTACGCTGGTCGGGAGCATCAAAAACAAAGCGAAGCAGACCAACGCGCTACGGGTTCTTTGCAGTACGTTTGACAACGTCAAATTCAAGGGTGGTGGTGTCCACGACAACGTTAACAGCTTCAACGATGACGACGAGAGACTGCTGGAGCCGTTCAAGTCGTACTTGGTGTGCGCATCTCGTAAGGACTCGTTGGTGCGTGGGCACGTACCGTCGATGAGCGTGACCTATGGTTATCGGTACCCGCCTCGACCCGCAGACCTACCCGAGATGAACGCCACCCGTGAGTCCCAAACCATACCCGACTACGCAACATTCACGAGATATGAACTTGCTTTTGTTACACGCCCACTGCGCTGACAGCAACAAATGAATAGTGAAATTCACCATCAATTTGTTTCCTTTTACTCTGAGGAGACAACATCAGAGACGTGCGTTCGTCATTGTCGATATATGCTGCTTGCTTAGCCGCACGTGCTAAGACTAATGTGCCGAGGCAGGGTCTGGGCTGCGGCTCCAGACCAAGAACACTGCATCTCCAAACATCGAACATGCAACATGTTGCAACGTTTCGTGTCCGTCGAATCCTCCTTCGACGGAAACAAAAAAAAATGGCAGCATATCTACGGAGTGAATGATCGAGAGTGGGGCGAAGCATCCGTCCGTCCATTCGATCTTGCTTTCGTCCGTCCATGTGTGCATCTGTGTGGCCACCCGTGCGTCCATCTGCCCGTCCGTGCGTGCGTCTGTTCGTGCGTCCGCACGTCCATCTGTGCGTCCATCCCTGCATTCGTCCATGCATCCACTCCTTTGTCCGTCCATGCGTCCATCAGTGCAGCCACCCATGCGTCCGTCCATGCATCTGTCTGTGTCCGTTGGTCCACCTATTCAACAATCCAAGTACCGCCATCTCGCAGCTTTTCATTATATATTTCTCATATAGAAGCACCGCCATAGAGCGGACATTCCAAAGACTGAACGAGAGGAGGCACACGCACACTTTCTTACGGCTTAAACTTCGTGTCTACTTCCCACCTTTAACCACCTCGAGTTCATGGTATATACGAGTTCACTGTATTCATGGCACTGCGGCCAAACGCTCGCTAAACCTTTCTAAAACCAAGGAGGTTACGCCCAGCGAGTATAACGTAGCAACCCTTTCTTGTCAAATAGTGCTCACTGTACATGTCAATGGCTGCTAAGGGGTAATAGGAGACAGGATAATTCGGCTTTTAGTTAACGCACACGCTGCGAATTTTTTATTGTTCAACAACGCACAGAAGAAATCTCCTACCGGCACCACCTTCGAGGTCAAAATGTAAGACTGTTTACACACTACGACTACAACTACGACTACGGGGGACTAACAGGTGCCGCTTTAAGGAGCTTTGTCCCTAAAAAAAAGAGCATTGCAGTGGAAGACCCGAAAGAACGCGTTGACGGAGAAGCAGTTATACGAGAGCCACGATAAGCGTCGCAGAGAAATGGGCACAAAGTGAAGTTATCCGCCGGAATGAGCGCCTACCGGTCTTCAACATTCAGAGCAACAAATCCATACTTGTAATTCCTGGCGTAACTGTTTATTTCACAATTTTACTGCATTTAAAGTTATTAAACCTGCTTTTTCTGCAATGAGTGTGTATGTACTATTCGGCAAACAGATGCCGTGAAGACGGTGAGCAGATGACAAGACGTGAATGTATGCATGTGGAGAGGCTAATCACCCTTTCTATTGGCTTAGGGACCCTGTAGCTTCCACAGTGCTGAAGGGTGGGGCAATAAGGTCTATTAGAGTTCCAGCGAGACGAAGCAGACGCAGCGCGAGCCATAGTGCCGTATGGCCCATGCGTCGCATTATTTCGAATTTTGTCACTGGTGACGCCCTGTGCTGTTAACCCAATGCAGCTTGCGTTTGACTTACTTCTCAAACTCTTTTGATCTTACGAATGCGAGAGCAACCTACGCAACGAAGCTTGGGCCATCGCGGCCCACAAAAATAAATCCGCCAACGAAGGCCGCTCAAGTGGCCATAAATACAAATAAGAACGACCCCTGCACGAATGTGTACCCCTCAGTTTCCGCACTCGGCGCCACGACTATCTTCAGGCCAGTAAGCTGAAAGTCTCACTTTCTGAACGCGTCACGAGACCAGATTGCGGCCTTCTTCGCGGGATTCTCTGCCACGCAGCGGGTATGAGTCAATCACCGCCGCAACCTCGCGGCAGTCGACACCGTTGCAACGCCGATGTCTCCGCCCTCCTCGAAATCAACACTATTGTTGACGTCCGAGTAAAGGCGAAGCTTTTAGTTCAAAACTCGTGCGTTGATGAAGTGTTTGGAGTGGATGTGAACATCCCCATCAACAACATCGCCGCAAACATCACGTCCCAAGTGAAGGTGATCTCGTGCGCGCAGCGGGGCACAACTCTCGTGCTCACTTTCGAGGGCACTGTGGTCCCAGGGGATCTACTCCTCTTCAAGCAGCGATGGCCTGTTCGGGCGCGCATGCCACGCCCACTGCAGTGTGCGCGCTGTGGTGTCTTTGGACATGCCACTGCGACTTGTTCACGCGCCCAGCGTTGCCTCCGATGTGGCCAGACCCACCCAGAAGACCCCTGCACTGCCGAAAAACCCCGCTGCATTACCTGCAGGGGCACCCAC